GCTTTTCAGATAGAAGATCAAACGACTGAATTTTGAAAGGCATTAGAATTCGAAAAGTGTTCGTTCAAAAGAGGGGGAAATTTAACCGGGAAAGTTGGCAATCATTTCGGATATTTTGGGAACCTGCGAAAATGGGATCGAGGGGGCGAAGATCCAGGACGCACGATGGCGTGCGGCGATAGGTTCAATGTATTAATGAGGATAAGACGGTTCAGTTGGTGCACGGTTTCGAGGCCCATGATTGAAGCTTTTAAGAACGGCGGAGAATTGACGCGTGGCCATGCGTTGGGGGCAACGAGGAAGGTGCAATCATGTCTCATAAATATGCAGGAATAATGGTCATTAATGAAGTAAGGTCCAGAAAAGCAATAAATGTTTTCGCTTCTTCAAGGCCGAGAGCCGACCAAGAGTGACAGTCGGCGACCTCCGAAGCGAGGGGGCAATGTTTGGGCCCAAAATATTGGGATTGGGCCGAGCAGCAGGATGTGCTCGGCCCAAGGTAATAACACATGCTATGGGCCAAATAATGAGACTCGGACCAGCTGGCAGGGTCGGCCAGATCCGATCTTAAGTAGTCCAGATAAACGAGGAAAGGTCGAGGAAATCCTGATGCAACCAGGATTCTCGACCGGCAAGGGATAAAACCTCAAAAGTAGGAGAATTCAGAATCCCAATAAGACTGGGATTGTTTGAGTTAAAGGTAAGATGGGACAAGGACTCCCAATCCAAATCAAAATGGGAATCAAGGAACGAGGTGCTATAAATACAAGAAATTACGCAATAGAAAGCTCTCCACAATCAGCATACAATTGCCCTGCGCAAATTCTCTCAAACACCTTGAGATTTTTCCTTTTCTTTTCCCGCCGACACACCTTCAGTTTGGATAAACAGCACTGCTGCCGCAGAATCAGCCGACCAAGACACACCTTCAGTTTGGATAAACAGCACTGTGTCGAGGTCGACCGATTATCTATCTAAGTCTCGGCCGAGGAAGGTTTTCGAACCTTTGTTGGTAGAGGTCATCTTACTAAGCCGTTTCGGCATAGTTGGGTGTTACGAATTGCCTTGCTCGGCGCATTGGAGGCCGAGTGAGTTTATGATTGGATACTCACAAGTAAGTTTCAGGGTTCGGCATTCCGACGGCCGAACTACGTTTACCATCAAGACATACATCACATTCGAGTACCTGTGCCCGTATAGTTTGGTCTCAATTCGGCGTGCTTATACTCTTACGAATATAATCACAGTGGCCGAATCAGGCTTCGACGAGTTGTGAACTCCGTAGAATTAGTAGCCTTGTCTTCAGGCTATAGAATCCAGAGACCGAGAGCGTTCCTTACTCGGTCGCAATCGCAAGATACAGAAGTCAACAGCGCGCTCAACGCGACCGCATCAAATTTTACTCCTCGGCCGAGCTCGGCCGACGAGTTGGCACGCCCTGCATTCAACCGAAGGACATTAGTTAGCTCATTAGTTATTCGGCCTGCGCGCCACGTAGGTTCTGTAATTTTTGTAGTCAACACATACATAAATCACCATTTATATAGAAATACGTGATGTACCACCTCGTGTGACAGTCATATTGAAAAAATTCTCAATAGAGGGCGGGTCGATGTTTGACGCGTGGAAAGGTAAAGTAAAAACAATGCTGTCGAAGCAGAGAAAGAAACGATGAAAGGCCCGAGTCTCGGAAGGGCAAAAGAGACTGTTTACTGTAGAAAGCCTAAACAGTATGTTATCCAAAGAAGAAACTGAGGGCATTTCTATCCTTTCACTGTTAATGAACAGTGCTAGAGAACTGAATTTTAGTATATGTATAATATCATTTTGCTAGGTCAAATACGTGTTTTAAGTTTTGAGATACAGAAGAAAGAACACTCACTACTTCTCTATTCTTCATTTAGAGCTAGGCTTCGCAAAATTAGACATGTTTAACTGCTTTTAAAGTAACTAAAAATGTTTTAAAATCGCCGAAAGAGTTTTTAACGACGTTGGCAAAAAATTGACAGTAATTTTGTGAGTTTTATAATAAAATAATAAAAACTACTTGAAATGCTCATAGAATGAAGCACTTGCAGCAGCTGAAGTGCTTTTTAGAAAAAAAAAAACCACTTGCATTTTTTTTTTAAATGTTTCCGTGTACTTGGGGCCTAATTAGGCTTCTTATCATAAAAAATTAGGCTTATTATCTTTTATTGTTATCATCTGCCCCACCTTGAATTTTCTTTGGTAGATCCAACGAGCGAAGGTTGTCGTTTGTGGGTTCTTTAGTGGAAAATCTCCATTCGGCGTCTTCAAGGGGTTGGAAATATTGCATTGTGTGGTTACGCTTGTTTGCCAAATTCTCAGTCGGGATCTTGGAGGGCCCCTCGACTTCTAATGTGTGATTATGGTTGTTTTCTAATGTTGCAAAAGTTGCTTTTTCATCTAATCAATCATCATTTTTTAAATGCAGAGACTCAAGATCGTGCTATATATACGAAGACAAAAAGCATTGAACTGCAGCAAGCCTTCAAACAAAATGGCTCATGGCTTCCTTCTCATAATCCTCTTATTCACGTCCATTATATCTCCAAATATCCACGCATGCAACCAAAATGAACGTAGCGCTCTCTTGTCCTTCAACCTCACTCTATCCTCTCCTTCTTTAAATTGGACTTCCATTAACTGTTGTACTTGGGAAGGCATCACTTGTAATCCGGAAGGTCAGGTCACCCATTTGCTCTTACCCTCGAAGGGGCTACACGGAGTTATTTTTACCTCGTCATTCTCACTTGGAAACCTCACTCATCTCACCCACTTGAATCTCTCCCATAATTCACTTCGCGGTTCACTTGAAAATAAACTCTTTGAGTCCTTGGATTCTCTTGAGATTCTTGATTTGAGCTATAACCTTCTTTTTGGAGTGCTACCTTTGTCTCTAACATCTAGAAACATCCGGACACTCGATTTGTCAAGCAATCGCTTCCATGGTCCAATTCCGTCTTCGTTCTTCATGCATGCTTGGAATTTGACAAGTTTCAACGTCAGCAACAATGCCTTCTCCAGCTACATCCCATCCTCTATATGTCTCCATTCTAACCCCTTGATTAGAGTGTTGGATTTTTCCTCAAACCAATTTAATGGCAACATTTTACGTGGTTTTGGGAGGTGTTCCGAGCTGCAGATCTTCCGTGCTGGTCACAATAATCTCTCAGGGCTACTTCCAAAAGATATCTATAATGCTACCAAACTCGAAGAAATTGCAGTACCTCTGAATTCACTATATGGAGGCATTAGTGAGAGAATTGTCAACCTCAACAACCTCGTAATCCTTGATCTCTCCTTCAATCAACTGAGCGGAGTACTCCCTCTCTGTTTGGGGAAGCTCTCCAGGTTAAAAATCATAAAGCTCGATTTCAACGACCTACAAGGTTCGTTGCCCCAATCTTTGATGAATTGCAGCAGCCTTGTAGAACTACGTTTGGCAAAAAATAACTTGGAAGGAGACATTACCAAGCTTAATTTCTCCAAACTTGTTCAACTTACTAAACTTGACCTGTATAGGAACAACTTCACTGGTAAGTTGCCAACAAGCCTTTACTCATGTAGATCCCTGAAAGCAATTCGATTAGCTTTGAACAATCTAGAGGGACAAATACAACCTGTGATTCTTTCGCTAAATTCTCTGTCCTTCCTCTCTCTTGGTAGCCTCCGATTGGAAAATGTCACAGGAGCAATGAAGATATTGATGCATTGCAAAAGTCTTCAAATACTCCTCCTTACACATTCCTTTAATGGTGAAGGAATGCCATCTGACGATGACATGGTTAGTTTTGATGGATTTCGAAATCTTCGATTTTTGAGCTTGGCGCATTGCGATCTCACCGGTCGAATACCTGTATGGTTAGCAAAGCTAAAGAGCCTAGAGATCTTGGCTCTGGATGGCAACAAAATCACAGGGACAATTCCTAGCTGGTTGGGGACTGATCTACCAAGACTTTTTAATATAGGCTTGTCAATGAACCTTATTTCAGGTGAATTTCCGAAAGAACTTTGTAGACTACCGGCGTTGGTACATGAACTTATTGCAGCTCAAGCAGACCAATATGATATCGAATTGCCACTCTACATTAAGAACTCGAGCGGGGTACTAATCACCTATGGATTACGCCGCCTATTGTCCGGCCTTCCTTCATCGATAGAACTTTCTTCCAACAACATTACCGGTAATATACCGTCTGAGATCGGCCAACTGCAGCTTCTCCAAGAGTTGCATCTAGACGACAACAACTTCTTCGGCAATATTCCAGACCAAATGTCTAACCTTATGAACTTACAAGCTTTGAATCTCTCCAAGAATCACTTGTCCGGAAAAATTCCATCGTCTCTGGCGGGCCTTAATTTCTTGAAGAGCTTTGTTGTCTCGTACAATAATCTCGAAGGTCCAATCCCAACAAGCACTCAGCTCCAAAGCTTTGAAGCTTCTGCATTTGAGGGGAATCCAAAACTTTGCGGTGCCCCACTTCCAAACGAGTGTCGCACTGATGCGCATGGTAAGAATAACCGCGATGATGAGGACGATGGGCATCAACTACCGTGGTTCTATATTTCGGCTGTGTTCGGGTTTATTTTTGGATTCTGGGGAGTATGTGGTTCTTTGATCGTAAAGAAGACATGGAGGTATGCGTACTTTCAGTTCATAGACAATGTACAGGATAGGCTCTATGTCATGTTAGCAGTGCGCATGAATACGATGAAGCGATGGCTTAGCTAAATAGAGTTCTTTGTTTTTTCTCGGTTACATTTGGGGGGTTTCGAATACTCTGTCATGTATTTTATTTTATAATAAACGTCCCTACGCTATCGAAGCTACTGCTTTGTAAATGACTCGTAAATCATAATTTAAAAATCCCTCTCATATCCCTCCCACATTTCCAATCCCCTCTAACTTGGTCTCGATTCCTTGAGACTTGGAAATCCCTCACCCCAAACATAGCCAAAAGAAGTCAAAATTTTGATTCAGGGGCCAAACTGAGAATCGGGTTACCAAATTGACAATGTAACATGTCATTTTTCTAGCAAAATAACATCACCCCCAAAATATGCAAAAACAATCTACGAACGAATAGCAACACATAATCTTCAGAGAGTACTGCAAATTAACATGTTCCATTTAACAAGGATCCCCATGCAGTCTGCTTTCTGTCAATATGCGCACTACCTGAAAGAACTCATGCTGCGCACCAAAGTAAAGACACGACTAATCGCATAAGATATGACCTTGAAAGTGTAATCATATTCGGATGAAAGGCAACCACGATCTGACCACAGCAATATGCCAAACGAAATATCATTCAAGACCAGAAACATTGAAACCTACAGCCCATCTCGAGCAACCTCCTCGTTTATCTACAACATGCCTTCAAGATTCATCATACTGCAACTAGCCTCAAGCTTAGTAACGGTTTGGACCAGGATTGACTCCAGCATCCCTGTCTGGCGTGTAGTTATTCTGGTATTGTCCAGGGTCATTCCATCCTGCATTAGAAGGCGGAGCCATGTTGTTTGGTGGCACCCCTCCCGGGTTATTGGGAGGCATCTGATTGTAGTTGTTGGGCGGCATTTGATTGTAGCTGTTGGGAGGCGCCTGATTATAGCTGTTTGGTGGCCCAGAATTCCAGTTGTTGCTTGGCTGGGGATTATTGTAGTTGTTTGGTTGACCCATGTTGGGAGGTGGCATTGGAGCCCTGTTCGGGGGTGGAGGACCCATGTTGGGAGACATTGGAGCCCTGTTGGGGGGTGGAGGACCCATGTTGGCAGGTCCAGGTCCCAAATTTGGCCCAGCTTGATTAGGCATAGGAGATGGACCCGTATTCTGAAAATCACGATTCTGCATATTTTCCCTTCTCCTTTCAAAGTTCCTTGATCTGTCAAAGTTACGAGGTCTGTCATTACGCCTGTTTCTCTCATTTGCTCGACTATTGTTTCTTATCCATTCCTCATGGTACTTGGGATCATATGGCACTGCTTGGCCATTAATAAAAGGTTCACCTGCCAAAACAAACAAGAAAGCAAACAAATCGTGGATAAAAGAATTTTCCTGGTTAACTTAGTTGAAAACAACATAGAAAAAGCTATACAATGTAGAAAAAAAACACACACTGTTTAATATTACCATAACACTCGGTACCCAGACCACAATTCTTGGGAGTACAGAAATTTTGAAATGAAAATTACCGTGGATCATTTTTTTTCAGATGCAATCGACACACGAAACTGGTTAGTTCAAAATTATGATATTTTACATGAAAACTCTGTACACAATACTGACTAGGGTTGCAGAAAGCCTTCAACAGGGGTTTTTATATTTCACCGGTTCTACACACCACTAGCACTGCTGCCACATCAACTGCCTAATAACTTTCACATCTGTCACATTCTAGAGCCTCAAACTATCCTTTGTCAGAAAAAATAAAGAAATAAATCTAAAATCAAAATATCATCAGACTGCCAGAGCAATTACGGAATGGAACTTATGACTTAAATGAATCAATTGCCATAAATAATTTGTTTTCTTTGAAATTCAACTTGAAGAAACAAGCATATCCGTACCTCCATAATCTTTGTTCTTAACATCCAAGTAGGAATCGGGAAGTACCCAACGGACTCCAGGCAACTCTGCAAGAATTTTACAAATACACACACACATGTATACATGAGAACTCAGACACAAGAAAATAATAAAATCCCAACTTAGAAGCAGAATCACCTTTGATTTTGAGTGAAACCTCTTCAGATACAAGCGCCCCAAACGCATAATAGCACCTAGTTGAAACTGAGTAAATCTTCATTCTTGCTTCGTCCTCACTGCAGTTCAGCCGAATGCGTACAAGCAATGTAAACTTGGTTATATAAATCTTCATTACAAAATATAAATCACAGGAAACACAAACAATAGGAATACAGTACAATCCTATGTGCTTTTTGAAATGTGAAAGCCATGAATCTTACAAAAACTTTAGTCTGTAAAAAAAAAAAAAGTGATCAAGACCATGCTATAAGAAACATGATTAAGACCATAATATTTAAGATATCATTAAGACCCTGCCACAAAGTGGGTTTATAGTTTAGATTTTGAATATCAAAAGCCTACAAAAAAGTTAATGAGTTTTTCTTTTGTTAGAACTTCAAAACATATAACCCAACATTAAGAATTGCACCCCCAAATTTCGGCGGAAATATACAGAAACAAAAGAAATTTAGCGCAACACACACATTTATGTGATATAAAAAAATCAAGTCAAAAACCCTACAAAAATGATATAAAGGCCAATTACAATTACAAAATCATTTTCTATCTTACAACAGAAAGCCATTAACTTCTACAGCTGCATACAACAGAAAGCCATTAACGGTATTAAGAAAATGTTCATATATTATGTTATACACCATAATCGAGTCGGTGTTTAACACAAATAAACTAATATCCTACAACAAGATAAATGCCAGAAAGTAGCATGAGCATACAACCCTCCCCCAAGAGAAAAAACCTCTTGTATTTTCTCAAACAAAAGTTTCCTGGTGCAATACAAATCAACTTAACCCAAAATACTACTGTAATCAAGAGCGAAAAAGAGAAAATTAAAAAGCGACAACTTCGAAAAAACAAATACAGATACAAATTGAAAATTAATTAAGAAACAAATACACTATAAACACAGCCATATAAATTCTAAAACTCCATTTCCAATTCTGATTTCTCATAATCCAAAGACATTAAATTAGTGACGAGCTATCAAGCTCTTTTCAGTTTCGGATTAAACGGAGCAAACAAAATCAGAAATGAAAGAACACATTCTCGAAGATTGTTCACACAGAGAATGTTACTCTGCTGATGCCATTCATTCACACTAAAGCTTGTGAGCTCACACAACCATACAAAAACTAACCGTTAGAGGAGAGAGAGCCAAAACAATTCTTAGTTAATCTCAGCCCTCCATTCCGTCTAGCCTATGAGCTAAATACAAGTGTCCTATCGAATGCTTATGAGCCATGTAACTAATACTCTCCAATAACAACATTACAGTTGGAATTCAAACATAAATCAGTTAACACATTTATATTTCAACAGTTTAGTGGCACCCTTCCCGGGTCATTAGGAGGCATTTGATTGTAGTTGTTGGGAGGCGTTCATGGCCCAGAATTGCAGTTGCTTGGCGGGGGATTATTGTAGTTGTTTGATGGACCCATGTTGGGAGGCGGTATTGGAGCCCTGTTCGGGGGTGGGGGACCCATGCTGGCAGATTCAGGTGCCGAATTTGGCCCAGCTTGATTAGGCACAGGAGATGGACCGGTATTCTGAAAATCACAATTCTGCATATTTTCCCTTCTCCTTCCAAAGTTACGAGGTCTGTCATTACGGCTATTTCTCTCATTTTCTTGACTATTGTTTCTTAGCAAGAAGAAAAGGAGAGACAGAGATGGAAAAAAAAAAAAAAAAAAAATAGGACAAGCCAACGAAGGGAGGATACCGTGGAATAAAGGCACGAAACGTAGTTCAGGTAAATAGAAACTGTGTGTAAATGTTGGTTGGATTTTAAACTTTCATACATTTGGCTGAATCTGAAGTTTCGATCTTTCATATAATGCAGAGACTTGTGAGCGAATCAAGCAGAGAACAATAGAAGCGTTAAAAGACCCCAAGGTGAAGTCATGTAAGATTCAGTAAGTTTTATGATATTTTCTTCGAATATTTGTGCTTTTGAATTAGCATATAAGATTCAATCAACTATTTTCTAATGTTTTTCAGTGTTGTTTGTTCGCGTCTTACTGCATTCTACTCTTTATTCTTAATAGCTGGACAGAAAGACTTTAATAGATGGTCAAGTTGCTGCTCAACGGGACATAAGCATGTCACATAACTCACCTTTGGAGAAACTGGATCTAGAGCTTGTAAAGAGAGAAAATTCGAAAAGAAGTTTTGTTAGCAGACCAGACCAGAGCTGCCAAAAACAGAAAAATGGAAGTAGCTATCGTAACCTCATCCTCTGTTAGCACAGCGAATGAGAAACCAGGGGAGTGTGCTTAAGTTTCTGCATTCCTAGGCACAGATGAAATAGCGTATGGAGGGTAACTTTTGTTCTTTCATAATTTACTTTGAAACAGATACAATTTGCTTGTTTTTGGTGTATATTAACGTTAGTTTTCTGGTGGCAACAAGAGTTCATCGAGCTGCAATGCAATCTTTTCAAGAGAAAAATATGTGTACATACGGTGAAATGTCGTTGCTGTTAATTTTATCTCCCCTTCACACGCATGATATATCCGGCTTCCCCTGCCACCAGCATCCAGCTTGCCTTGCCAATAATTTAACATTGATCAGAAGCCGTGCGGCTGTAGGCGGCGGATTTTATTTTTCAGATTGGTTTCTCTTGTTCAATTTTGGTCACAATTTTGTTGATCTGCAAGGTTGTGCTGTGGATGCCAAATCTACGACAGAACCGTAGTCTATTTTCTCCAAGATCAATTGAACAGCAGCATGACCATATATTTTCTTTTCTTTTCATAAGATCGTAGACTTCTTCTTTCTGCAGCTGAACTGGGTTATAGTTGTTGTGTGGTGTGGTGTGGTGTGGTGTGGTGTGGTGGTTGCAGTGGTGGTGGGGCGGTGGTAGTGATGGTGGCGACAGTACCATGGTACCACGGTACGACTTGCCCATCTCAATGGCAATCTAAATTACGGTCAATAACTATTGCTGCGTAAATACGGCATCTTATTGGACATTGCCAGTATGATGGGTTAGATATATAACTCAGTGGTTGAAAAAAATGACTAACGTCCAATCTTCCAAGGAAAATCATTTCAGCAGGAATATCACTTAGAACGTGGAATTTAATTCATATGAAAAATACAGATGCATGACATTTAATTAGTGGACCAAATTATGAAGCAATTCGAATACAGTTTGAGACTTTAAGGTTGGGGTCCCCTGTGTCCAATTTGTGCCCCTAATACAAGGGGAGATGAACAACAATTAATGCTTCTATGTGACATATGAGTGTTTTAGCGATATAATGTCATTTTGCTAGGTCAAATACGCGTTTTAAGTTTTGAGATAAAGAACACTCACCACTTCTCTATTCTTAATTTTAGCTAGACTTCGCAAGACTAGGCATGTTTGACCGTTCTTTTAAAGTAACTAAAAGTGTTTAAGATCATCAAAAGAGCTTTTAACAATGTTGACAAAAAATTAACTGTAATTTTGAAAGTTTTTATAATAAAATAAGAGAAACTACTTGAAATGCTTTTAGAAAGAAGCACTTGAAGCAGCTGAAGCTGAAGTGCTTTTTATAAAAAAACACTAGCATTTTTTTTTTAAAGTTTCCATGTACTTGGGGCCTAATTAAGCTTATTATCCTTGTTGCTATCATCTGTCTTACCTTGAATTTTCTTTGGTAGATCCAATGAGCGAAGGTCGTCGTTTGTGGGTTCCTTAGTGGAAAATCTCTTTTCGACGTCTTGATTGGAAAATTTGCATTGTGTGGTTATGCTTGTTTGCCAAATTCTCAATTGGGATATTGGAGGACCCCTCGACTTCTAATGTGTGGTTATGGTTGTTTTCTAATGTTGTAAAAGCTGCTTTTCCATCTAATGAAGCATAATTTTTTAAAGGAAGTTTTAACGAAAAGCTCACGATATTGTTCACTTTAATGAAAAACTACATTTTTACACTAAAAAGTCAATTCTGGTACTATTCACTTTACCCTTTATTTTGTCCTTATCGTTAAAACTCAAAGTTTTCAAACCTTTTTCATTAGTTTTCTTTTTTTTAAATGCAGAGACTCGAGATCCTGCTATATATATGAAGACAAAAAGCATTGAGCTGCAGCAAGCCTTCAAACACAACAGCTCATGGCTTCCTTCTCATGATCCTCTTATTCACGTCCATTATATCTCCTAATATCCATGCATGCAACCAAAATGATCATAGCTCTCTCTTGTCCTTCAATCTCACTCTATACTCTCCTCCTTTAAATTGGAATTCCGTTAATTGCTGTAGTTGGGAAGGCATCACGTGTAATCCGGAAGGTCGGGTCATCAATTTGCTCTTACCCTCGGAACGGCTCGACGGAGTTATTTTTACCTCGTTATCCTCACTTGCAAACCTCACTTATCTCACTCACTTGAATCTCTCCCACAATTCACTTCACGGTTCACTCGAAAATAAACTCTTTGAGCCCTTGAATTCTCTTAAGATTCTTGATTTGAGCTATAACCTTCTTTCTGGAGAGCTACCTTTGTCTCTAACATCCGGCAACATCCGGACACTCGATTTGTCAAGCAATCACTTCCATGGTCCAATTCCATCTTCATTCTTCATGCATGCTTGGAATTTGACAAGTTTCAACGTCAACAACAATTCCTTCTCCGGGTACATCCCATCCTCTATATGTCTCCATTCTAACCCCTTGATTAAAGTGTTGGATTTTTCCTCAAACCAATTCAGTGGCAACATTTACCTCGGTTTTGGGAGGTGTTCCGAGTTGCAGATTTTTCATGCTGGTCACAATAATCTCTCAGGGCTACTTCCAGAAGATATCTATAATGCTACCAAACTTGAAGAAGTTGCAGTACCTCTAAATTCACTATATGGAGGCATTAGTGATAAAATTGTCAACCTCACCAACCTCGCAATCCTTGACCTCTCCTTCAATCAACTATGCATAGTGCTCCCTCTCCGTTTGGGGAAGCTCTCCCAAGTTAAAAATCGTAATGCTCAATTTCAACGACCTGCAAGGCCCGTTGCCCCAATCTTTGATGAATTGCACCAACCTTGTAGAACTACGTTTGGGATGAAATAACTTGGAAGGAAACATTGCGAAGCTTAATTTCTCTAAACTTGTTCAGCTTACCAAACTTGACCTGTATAGGAACAAG